ATAAATGCACACTTGTATTGCCTACTAAGAAAGTTAGTACCGGTAGTCATAGGGTTAGAACTGCAAGCAAATGTTACACTATATATTCTGTAATGCCTAAGATTTTCAACAGCTTCCTCAACTTTGCGCCTGTGGCTTTGAGTACTGGCAATGGAAGTTAAAATCTGATAGTGAACCTATCTAACGAGAACTGGGATACAGAAAGAATTGCTATGAGCATCTGAGTAGCGCAAAAACACGGCATTTGATTAAATAGAAAGAGGGAGAGAATAATGTGTGAGAAATAGGGTAAATTGTATAATGAGTAGCTTTCATCTGGAACAAGCAAAACATTTCTCCTACCCTGACCCTTTCATTTAAAGAAAATTGCATTTAAAAATTAAATAATTAGTGACATTCTACATTGTGAGATTATAAACAATATAATAGTATAAATGTTGAAAACTAAATTATTTCGGCACGGATATCTTTTACTGCGCATGGCACAAGGTTTTAGTGGCTTACATTCAAAATTTTATTAAACTAATTTTTGTTTATGTTATACCAATTAGAATAGCACAAAATCTTAGCTAATAATCCATATTTTAACAGTATACAAGTTTTAAGTTTTTAATTCTAAAAGGAAATATATAAAAAATCCTTAATTTCCACTAGTGTAACACACATGACAAATTTTGTCTTAGCATGTCATCATCCCTATTTATTCCATTACCCCTCGAAAATGTACGAAATTAAAAGTGAAATGCTTTCTATAAAATCGTTATTGCTTAAACAGACCATATTTTTTATGGCCTCCAATTTTGTTTTGTTACAGAGCTATCAAAGAGAAAATCAGACCCCTCCTGTCACACTCTCCCTTTCACAATTGGTTGATAGTTCTCTCTTACGTTTCATTGTATATTATTTATAACCAATAGAAAGTCAAGGTTTTCATATATCAAATGGCATTTTGTATAACATTGTGTTTTGAACAGATAATAGTTAATGTCACTCTGAGTGGTAATTTTGTTCCCTGGGAACGTTAATGACTAGCTTGGATGAATTTGTAAAGGCTTTTGTGGCATAGTTAGAAAGCCAGGAAAATTTTTAGAAGTAAGTGAATTTGTCTACTTTTTGCATGTTATTAGTCTATATTTTTTATGTATTATTTAAGTAAATAAAACTTAAGTGCTGTACCACAACTGCTAAAAAAAATCAGGCTTAACTCTACTCAACAATCGAGGGCAAGAAAAACTAAGATTGGGTAAGTACATTATTTCTTGTTTTTCATATTCATTCTTTATTTATTATTATAAAAGTAACTAAAATTAAAAGTATGGACTAGAATAGGTAAAATAAGTAATAATAATAATAATATAATTACAATTGTTCATAAAGCAGCACGCCAGCAGCTGTTGGTAATGTAATTCAATAGCTTAATGTGAGCTGCACTTTCCCCCATTGATTTACAACTTATAATTGCACCTATTAGCAGTTAGACATGGTTCAATGGGCAATATAAAGGGCAATAAAACAATAAAATTTAATTATAAATAGATGTATAATATTATGAACTTAGAGCTACTTAGGATAAATAAATGTAGTTTCATGTTACAATCTGAAGTCATACTAGAAAGAAGGTTAATTTATGTTTATTTCGATTTTTTCTGGTGGTTACAAGGTCCGTGGAATCGACAGATCCAGTTTTGAGATTAGGGTAGAGAAAATAACATATAAACTCTAAGGATTTAGTGAGAAAAAAAAACGTTTGAAATGCATTTAGGAGGTTTTAGGGATTACACAAAGGAAATGTGAGATGACGAAAAGTATTTTTAATTTTAACATGAAAACCATGAATATATTGAGTATTTGTTTTGAATAGTCCATGTGCAAAGTAAACAATACTTTATTTTATTAAAAATACTTCACTAAGAAATATGTCTTTTTGTATGTGAAAGACTTGTAATATTAACTGAAAGACTGCCAAATTTCATGAAGATATACCAAATACATAGAGAGTTATAAGTATTAAATTTACATCATCTTTAAACGAGTACAAAAGGTCACGTGACTTGGTCAAATTGACCGACCCTGTGTTGGGAGAGTTAATGTAAAACAAATAAGAATTATAACAACCTCTATAAAAAAAAAGGTTAAAGAGATTATCATTACTTGAATGAAGTATCACAACAAGATGAAACACACAAGTTGAAATATTTCAGCAGATACATTGACCTGTACAGCAAACCTTCCACAATTTTCATGGACATTACATTAAAATTTATTCATTTATAAATTAAAATACATAGTCAATATGTGAAGATGTTCAGTGTGACTCATGGTGCCATATCGTCCCTGACTTCATACCTTTAACTCAGCTAATTTGGGGACTATAAATCACATGAATAATAAATTATGTATCAGTGACTTTGAGACAAATGAAGAATGGTAAATTGGTATCTTTTTTTCTTAAATACATTAACTCTCACACTACGGGCTTGGTCAAATCAGTCAAGTATGTGACCCAAAATTGACCTTTATAGTTTCCATAGTATAACTTCTAATACGTTTTGTGTACCTTCATGAAATTTTGCAAGCCTTCTGTAATTAATAAGTCATTTGTACACAAAATATCAAAATTTTTAATGAGTGCAGTGATTTACATGTTAAGATTAAGAATATCTCTCTTCATCTGAAAAATCAGAAATTTCATTTGCATAATTTCCAAAACCTCCTAAATACATTTCACACTTTTTTCTGAATAAAACTTTTTATTTTATCTGTTATTTTCTCTACCCTATCTCAAAACAGGATTGGTCAAATCGACCGACATTGAAACCACCAAAAAAAAAAGGAAATAAACCAAAATTACCTTTTTTCTTTCTATAATGACTTCAAATTGTAACATGAAACTACATTTGTTTATCTTAAATAGCTTTAAACTTGTAACTGTATACATCTGTTTATACTTATATTTTATTGTTTCATAGCCCTATGAACCATTACTAACTGTACAAATCACTTGGCTAGCATGCAAATCAATTTACCTTATCAAATTACATAATGCACAAGCTACTCGCGAGTTGCTTACGAGCGTATCCCATGAAAACATTTTTTAATTATTCTTTATTTTACCTAATCTTACCTTAACTAACCCAAAAAGTTTTTAATTTTTATATTTTAGTTATTTTTATAATAATAAATAAAGAATACACATGAAAAACAAGAAATAAAGTACTTACTTGGGCTTTCTTTTTTTGCTGGCGATGGCATTTAGCCCTACCCTTTTCATATTAATCATACTACTGCACTAAATAATGTTATATTTATTTAGATAATCATCAAACAACACAGAATGATCACATACAAAAGGCACACAATGTCCCATAACTATCCCAATTTTTGTGGCTCTCTAACTATGGAACCACAAGCATTAAATATTCAGTTAAGCTCAATGATGTGTTTCCCATGGGAATAAAGTTTGACCTTGAAGTGAAACATACAATTCTCTGAACATAAAACAATGTAATATAATACATCATTTGTATTTGGCTTTCTATTGGTTACCTAAAAGAGAGAATGTGACAGGTGGGTGTGGCAAGAGGGGTCTGATTTTTTATTTGATGGTTCTGTAACTAAATAAGATTGAAGGCTATAAAAATTATGCTTTGCCTGAGCGATGACAATATTATAATGAGTGATTTACATTAAATTTTCTACTTCTTGAAGGGATGCCTAGAGAGAAAATATCCCAATTCTCATACTAAGGTCAATTTAGCATTTTTTTAAATATTACCATATAAAATTATGAACTCAAAATATATCTACTATTAAAATTTGCTAAGCTACATTTTAAAGTCAAATTTATTTGTATGTCATGATAAGAAAGTAGGCTAATTATACTTTGAATGTAACTCACTAAAACCTTGTGACATGCAAAGAAAAAGATTCTCATAGCAAAATAGTTAACATTTGTTTGAACAAAATTATTAAATATCTATCCAACAACACAACTTAGAAGTCATAATATGAGTTAGGACTGTACTGTTGTTTCAATAACAAAAAATAGAAATATAAAGAAGTGCAGGGCATTTAAATTAACAAGTCAAATGTTTTTCTTACTTACCAGAAGCAGACTGAGCTCCTTCAACAAGACCAATCTTTACATCCTGTAGAGTTTCAACAATAAAAATTCTTCAGTTAATTAGATTTTTGTCATATGTAATAATAATAAGCAAAATACTTTATGATCTAAATCAAAAAGTATTTCATTTTCTATAAAATAAATACACTTAACCTAATGAAATCCTTTAGTGGTAAACTTAGTCAAAATTTCTTAATTTAAGCAAAACTTTTAAATTCATAAACAATAATTTTAATACTAATACTAAAAGAAGTTGAATAAAACTTAAAACCAATCATTTCAATACAAATTATAAGTATGTGCTGTCGTGTTTAATAAGATTGTACTACTATTTGATTTTATTCTTACTAGCTCACCTAGATTTTCTATATGAAAATATTCTATTTCAGTTTCAACTAGACTTTCATTATGTATGTGTATACACAAATCAGTTTAAGCTTAATATCAACTAGATGCTAATCAAGTTTCAAAACAATAAAAAAATGTTTATTGCTACACCATCTTACAATATAATAGCAAGCCTACTTAAAAAAAAAAGTTTACTGTAGGCTTTGCTATTATATTGTAAGATGGTGTAGCTTAATAATAAAAATATGTTTATTGCTACACCATCTTACAATATAATAGCAAAGCCTACTTATTAAAAAAAAATATGTTTATTGCTACACCATCGTACAATATAATAGCAAAGCCTACTTAATAAAAAACATGTTTATTGCTACACCATCTTACAACATAATAGCAAAGCCTATTTAATAATAAAAATGTTTATTGCTATACCATCTTCAAATATTATAGCAAAGCCTACTTACATTGACTTTGTTTATCTAGATATAAATCAGGGAGAGTAGTATGCACAAGACAACACATATAAAAGCTCAAGCAACTATTGATACACTTGTTGCATTTAAAAATTTCAATCTCCAGTTAACTGAAATGTTCTGATGATATATTACCTTTAAATAGCTCTTAATATAAGACTTTCTTGTCATATTATTATCAGTAATGCATTAAAATTTCACAATCCATTTGAAATCATGGAAATAAAGTGACCCAGTTCAAAAACAAAAATGATTTGGACAAACTCAAAATTCTTTTAGGCAAAAAGTCTGATGAGCAGGTTAATAAACACAGTAAATAACTGCATGTTGTTTGGAGCAGCTGAAGACATCTAACTTATAGAAATTATTAGTTGCATTCAAGTCATCATAAGGTCCAAGAAATGGTAATCATTGAATTATGGTTTGACCCTTTTATATTTTTGTTAGAATGATTAATGAGTGAAGATTTTATAACTTTAATAATGTGATACAAAATCAGTATGAACTTAGAATGATAATAATCATATTCAATGACTTTAAGTGCTAAATACATTGAACAGGTGACTAATGTAGCAAAGCATAAAGAATATTTAATAATAACTAAGAATATCTAATATCTAATTCATAATAATTATCAACCACAATTTTGACAACTTGTAAAGTTAAAATATGCACATAACTTATAACTTTCAAATATTTTTTTTAAACTGTACTAAGCTATTAAAGTTGTTGAAACTTACACTTATAAATGGAAGAAACACTTGCAAAGACTCTTCATCAGAGCTGTAAAAGAAAAGTATTAAAGTTTTGTCAAGTTTAAATTTCTTTTTTTTTTTGCTCAAACTAAAATTATGTTTTTCCACAATAGCCATCATCATCTACCACTAGAAATTGGTTACAAAATTTATCAATCAATTTTAGTCTAAGCATTTCAGTCAATTTCAATGTACAGAACATTTAAAGTTTTCACACAATATAAATAACATCCCAAAAGCATACATAGAATCACTAATTTGAACAATAAAAGTAGTTGTTGGTGGTTTGAATATGCAATCTGATTAATTTTCATAATTAGGAGCCACATTTAAAAAGCTTTACATAAAGATGCTGCAAATGTTGCTTGTAAAGAGTTTTAGGTATGTTCAAGCCTTTCATTATTGTTCTGTCATAAAAGTTCCTCAACTAATCATTATCAAAACAATGTAAAAATAAAAAAATATTTTGTTTGTGAACTATGGAAATTCATATTTTAAGCCTCTGAAATCTGTCTACATACTATTTGTTTTGCTTTTTAAAGTTGTTCTATCCAAGAAATATTATAATGCTCTTATAAATTCTGATTAAGAAGTTAGCACACATGATCACATATAAAAGTTGTAATGGTTTTCAAACGTGACCCAAAACTTGAATGCTTTCGAATAGTTCACTATTCTTCTTCAGGAGAATAAAGGGTTATGTTTAATGAGTGTAATGAAATATATAGGCACAGATGACGACGTCACGTAAACAAGATGTTCAATACAAGTTTGCCTTGAGAACTAGACAATCATAGCCTAGAGTTGTTGGGGTCAGGTTTAGTTTGTGCCAAAGAGGTGTGTACAGTACATAAAAGACATAAGTGTGATAGTAGTTTTTAATAACCAATCTTTATGAGGATAAAATAAAAAATAAAAATAATAATAATAATATTGATGCCAAATTTTATTTTGCAAGCAGGATATTCTACATTAAATTGTTAGGAAGTGATCATGATATCATTCACAATTCAAAATGTGACATATCTTAAAGAATAAAAATGTAAATTTACTATATTTTATTGTTGAGCAGCTTTTAGCATGACTGAAATGCTCAACAAATACTTTTCATGGTGGGCAGTATAAGTAGCTCAGGGCTTTGATTCTGAGTGAAACCAAGAGTACAACACAATTAACGTTTTTAAAGTCCATGAAATAATTTATAATGATAAATTAACTTAAACTTTTCACATCACTGGAATGGGGACTTTTGCTTGTGTTGTAATGATTCAAAACTTAGCTTCAAAGTTTATCACTTATCATTTTTAAAGAACCCATTAAGCTAATGTTTGTTAATCTTACCATTGGTTGCACACACATAAGCTCTAATCCAAAGGCTAAGAGCACCACCTTTGTCACTATAATATTTTTTATAAATGCAAAAAAGAAACATATTATTTACTGAATGATATAATTTCAAATTCTTATGACCACATTTTTGTATGTTATACTTCAGTACCAAATTAATATATTAAAATTAGCTAAAGGGCTTACATAAAAGAGATTAATGGATTAAAAAACAACAACAACACGTGTTAAATTGTATAAATGGTTTATAAATTTTTCAAATAATAGCAATTACAGTTGTTTCAAAGTACATTATGTAATGTCTTGTATGACTAGAAGAAAGTTATTACTAAAATTAACAATAAAACGTACTTAGAAAAACAACTGTTAAACACATATATAAAAATGCAAAGAATAAAAGCACTGATGCTTGCTCAGATGCCAGCTTCTTAGTTTACAAAAATCTTAGTTTAGAGAAAATGCCTAAGAACAGTACAGGTGCCACTACATTTCCACCAGCAAAGTAAATCACAAACAATGCTATAATCGAGATGCATAACCCTTATGTAGACTTACAATTTTCATGAAGACAAAGGGGCTTTTAACTGGGTTTAGAAGTTGTGAACTTCACACTTTGAATAAAGTGATATGTTTTAAAAAAAATCTTTAATTAAACTTTCTTTTAATTAAGCCATTTAATCATTCTGTAACTTTTTATTGTCAAAAGTATAGATTTATAAATATGGGCCTATAAAAATCCTTCAGCTCCAAGGACTGACAGCATTTTCATTTTGGTCCTGGAAGAAATTTACTGGTATTTGGTTATATATTCTGTTTAAAGAGAATGCTGCTTAAGTATACATTTTCAAAAGTAAAAAAAAAAAAGAGGAATCATAAACTTGTTTTCCAACTACGTAGATTTGAAAAATATATCAGTTTTATTAGATTTGTACAAGAAACTAGCAGAAAAGAGAAATTATTGTAAATTAGAAAGTCTTTAAAATGTTTGACGTGTCTGATTATCATAGAAAAAAGTTATTCTTTATTTCTAATATCTGGAGCTTCTGACAAATTTATAATTATATATTTTATCAAAGTACACTATGTCATATCATCAAGAGATGTGATTTTATAACTTTCTTCTATTTTTCTGTATCTTGCTTGTTTAAAACAAAATTATTATTCTGCCTAGTTATTACTTCATACATCAAACTCAGAAATCAGCTCTCACAAGGATGCATCCTAAAGGCTGAAGATTTATAGAAATAGACGTGCTACTGCTAATAGCATAAAAATTTCATAGAACAAAAACAATCACAACAAAACCAAAACTAATATCTAGTTTAACAATATGTTGCATATCTGAAACAGATCAGAAATTTTTAATAGGTGGCTAGCTGAACTAAAGTTTTCAGGTTAGACATGTGAAAATGGGAACACAAATACAGAGGAACAAAAATATCTGATTGAATGACCTACACTTTATTATAAAAAAATAATTATCAAACACTAGAGACAGAATCTTCAATCACAAAAACAATACAAAACAACTACAATGAATTAACAGACAGTAGAGAACATTTACAACTTTCAACACAAGAAACTGAATAATAAGAACAAAATCTATAAATCAAGTAGGCCAAAGAGTCTAATGTGACTTTATTCTAATAATGAACTTGTTTCACTAGAATGTACAGTAGATGTTAGTTTTTGTTCAAAATGATTTTATACTTCAGAGCAAAAGCAAGCAATTTTAAAATTGTACTTAAATACATATCAAAATATCCTATAATAATTTGCTAAAGTTATGATATTCTTTAAATTTTTAAAGAACTAGTGGTCTGAACAATTATTGAAGAAACATTCTTTGTTTCAAAAAGCAAAATTAGAGTATTAAGTTTGAAGTTGAAATAACTCTATCAAAATTCATATACTAATATAAGGATATCAATTTTATTTTATTTTCATGAGAATTAATATAGTTGTACAAATTAAGAGGGCGTGAAATTGATTTTCTTTTTCTGTGTGACAATTAGAAACTCAAAAATAGTGTTTTAGTATTTTTTTTGATAAACAATTTATTTTTTTAGGGAATAGTATTGTAACAAGATACCTTGGAACTTTAGACTCAACATATTCAACGAATTTTGTGGATGGAACTTGGAAAGATTTATTGGATCGCATGAATGAGTCTCAGTCAGTACCTGATGTACAGGAAATGGGAGCACGAATATTAAATTATTTAAATTCTGCAAATTCACTATTACAGCTACCAATTGCAGAGGCCATGGTAACATACAAAGAAAAAAGGCAAGATACTAATATTCAATAAACAAATTAAATATTACTATGGTTGAAATAATGTATTGAAATATGGGACCAGACTGCGTGTCCAAATTGCTTAGTTAACCTGACTATTAATGTGAAATCAGTACAAGTGTTCTGGATATTTTTTTAGATTATTAATGTTATTTATTGATAGTTTTTAAAGATAAAAAAAGTTTATATTTATGAACACCATGTCTGATGTGTTATGTGACACACGCATACACAGTATAGGTATTCTATGTAATGGAAGGAAAATCACTTGAAAAATAAAGCATGATTCATTATTTTTGCAAAGCATGATGGACAGAAAAATTATAAAACAAGTGATAAATGCTTTGTTTACAGGCAAGACTCTTAAGAGACGCACAGAAATGATAGTTCAAACATTTGTTTTTCCACTTGGCTTTATGAAATACACTATAAAGATTATATAATGACAAAATGTGTGAGGAAAAGATCTGCTGATATAAATACAATTATATATATATTTTTAACTTTGAGATTTCACATACAAGTGTGCCCTCACCACTTGAAAGGTACACACCAGTCATAATATGGTTAAAGAAAAGCCATAGTTAAACCTCCCTAACCAAAAGACATTTTGTACAACTATAAAATGAAAAAATATGAGCTTTTCCAAAAACCTTTTTGTGAATCAAATACAATGTAAGTGCCAAAAAAGGCTTTTTGAATTGTATTATAAATTATTTCCTGCAATAGATTTAAAAACTAACAATCGCTTTTTCAATATTCAGTTGAACTCAACAGGTTGCAACTGATAAAATAACCTTCAAAAATGTTTTACTAAAGATTGATAAGGAATATCAATATCCACATAATTCTGTAAACAATACATACGTATGCTTGCCAAATCAGTTGTGATAATTTGTTAGATTTGATAAAAAGCAAGTAAACCTGTCTATTAGAGAATTTTAATTTTTTTTGTAAGTTAATCCCCGAGTATTATTTCTTGGCACTTGTGTTAAAATAATAAATAACACACAAAGTTGAAATAAGTACACAATTAAAAATATTTTAATTAAGGTGAATCTATGACCACTAAAAAGTTGACTCTACATGTTTCAATGTCATCTTTAGGAGTGAGTTGCAAGACATAATTGTGTCTTATTTATAGTTTTTTCTTTGTTAAATAGGTCATGTTGCAACATTGAAACATGTAGAGTCAACTTCTCAGTGGTCATATATTGACCTTAATTAAAAAATTTTTAATTGTGTACCTATTTTAATGTTGTGTATTTTTATTATTTTAAGTTAATCCCTATTTCATTTTTCGGATATGGTCAGTGTTTAGGTCTAGAATTCATTTATATTTTACATTAGATAGCCTGATTGAGAGTAAGCCTAATATTAGTGAAGAACTAACTGTGCTATCTGTTGTTTTTGCTATACCATGGAGAAAGCAGAACTTCACCATTGTATTTGGAAAATTCTGTTCAGATAAGTATACTACAAATGTTCATCCTTACGTCTAATAAATCACATGAAGTTTTGTTTATTAACAAGCCTGTAAGTCACTTCTTAATTCTAAAAGACTAAAATCAAAAACCCAATATATAAGATATAGTGTGAAGAGTGGTACACCAATAAACTGAAATTGTTGGACGTCAAAGTTGTACAGAAACTGAAAACAATCTGCAATAACTCCAAAATTTCAAGAACAAAAGTAATTTGAATTTACAAATACATAACCACAGTTTTTAATTTAAAAAAAAAAGATCACTGAAGAGAAAAATTTGAAATTATATCATTTTGTTCAAAGAAAAGAGATTTTAAAGTAACTTTAATGTAGTAGTACAATCATCATTCATCAGGTTTCATTCCAAACATTTTCAAAGAAACTTACCTAATGGAACAATGTGAAATCTGACATAAGTCTGCCATTCAGGTGGTTTGCAAGAAAAATGGTCAACATATAACCGAAGTAAAGAATTAAGAAAGCCATCAAGGCCTAAAGAACAAATTTTTATTGTAGGTGGTGCTCTTGAATTACAGTTGCAGCTACAAAAAAAAAGAAAAGAAAAAAAAGTCAAATCAGCTTTACAGAATAAAGTAAAGTAATACATGGTTGATTTGTTATAAAGCTTCTCACTAACAATATTTTATTTTTACCAATTCTAAAAAATATTAGTCATTGTGAGCATACAGTAGTTGGTTTCTGTCACATAATAAGACTCCTTACTATCAAGAATAATTTTCCCAACTTTCAATAATTGTAGTCATTGTGCACATGCAAGAGCATCCAAACATCCAAAAATTACTGTTCATTTCATATTTTGAAGCTGACATCCAAACATTCAAAAACTACTGTTCATTTCATATTTTGTAGCTGATAAGAAACATTTAATGAAATCATCATTATAATGATTTCTCATCTCAGTTTGAGAGAAATCAATATTTTTTTTTAAGTATATACTATATACAAATCAAAAGTAAATTATTTTTTTTACACTGGACAATCATGTAATGGAGTTTACTCACTTTTTGCTTTAATATAACCAAAGTTTATAAACATATACGTAAGAATCCACCATCAAGATGAGATCTTTACTAATAATGACTCATATTGATAGCTGAAAAGTGCGTGTTCCTTAAATATTGTTAATTTGGAAGTTATATTATTTTTTAAGTTTAATTTTACACATGTAAGTTATGGAAATACTAGTTATACAGGATGATGTAAAAGTCACACATCACCATGGCATTCTAAGTCATGTTTGTGTTTCACACCCAACTTCTCTTTTTTCATTGGTTACAATTATTGGTTGGCTTGTCAACAACCTTGCCAGAATATGTGGAAATTATTTTTTTATGACAGCTATAAGTGTACAGCTGGCCCTCTATCTTAAGCTTATAAATGAAAATGAAACCAGTTAGTCAACAGCATGAACTGCAAACTTTTAGGCTGCTCTAACGAAACAGTGGAATTTAACAATCACTATACTAATGAAACCAAAGCCTAAAAGTGCAAAGCAGATTTTTTCTTTTGTGGCAAATAGTCATAAGCCATAGACCATCAGATTCACAGTCAACACACTAACCACTAGGCCATACCTAGCCCTTTTTCTTTTAGGCTACATATATTATTTGTTGATATGAAACAACCATTTAATATTTCCTGTATTTGTTTTCAACTCCCCTGTAGTTAAGCAAATTTCTTACATAGATTATAGCCATTTAATTCTCTTCTGAAAACATGGGATCCCTTTTAATATTCTTATGCCATTTGTAGTGACAATATTCTTAACTAGGTTTTTCCTCTAATACAATACAAATTAAACTATATCACATACTGTATATAAGAATTATACTTGGTCAGTAAATACAAACTTAATCATAAGTTGATTCTTGTTTTAAAAGAGTTGAATTTTCATACTTATTCAGTATCTCGTATGATGTCTGTTAAACTTCTTTCAGTTTAAATAATATAAACTGTTTCTAAATGTTAATGATTTTTATCAGTACAAAGTATTAGAGAAAGTATTAAAGCTCACAATTTCTGGATCTTGGCAACAAGAGAGAATATAGATGCTTTCAGATCTGATGTGGAGGATACAGCTACAACATAATGTTGTCTTTCTTGTAAGTACTGAGCAAGACATTGACCAACAGTCTCTGTTGTACTGATCAGAAGAAGGTGGTCTGGAACTGCATCGTCTGTTGGAAAAATCCTATTTAGCTGTTCCATAACCAGTTTTCTAGGCTAGAAGTAAGCAAATGAATTGATTATTGGTGGAAAAATGCAATGATACTTTATGATTTCATTGTTAACCAGACGATACTACATGTGATGTCATTTCCTACTGCCCAAATTAAGATGGGGGAAATAAAGTTTAATTTGAAATTAGATTTTTCTCTGGATACAACTGAACACAATTCTACTTTACAACCCTGTCCAACTCTCCTCCCCATCTTTAATCAATAGCTGGCAGCCAGAATTTTCTTGTTGCAGATATATTCCCTTTTAATTGCTACTGTTCATAGGTTCTGATGGTAGATATTTTTGATCAGATGGCTGCTTTTACAAACAATTATCACTATCATAATTCATACGTATGCAGTATTGTTTATTTGTGTGCATCCCTTTGAAAAAAAGTACACTGCAGGCTTGGTGGTGCAGCTGCAATTTTGGCCTGTCACATCTTACAAGTGCAAATTTTAATAAGGCATTATGTTTTAGATAATAAACATTTTTTTCACTTTAGACCCTTCAGAGAATATAATTCTATATCCAAAACATTGCTAAAATGTGTATATCACAACAGCAAGGCAAGCAATTAAGGTTACAGCCACACTAATTGTGGCCAGGTGAATGACTATTTTTAACATTTATTTGAGTTATTTGTAACTCACTATTGTAAGTCTATGCATAAAACAAAGTAAACAATAGTTAAAAGCATTTGTAGTGTGATTTACATTACTGACAAGTAATAAAATATACACAAAATGAAAGAACTAATATAATACAACCCATGAGACCCTCAAAGCTACTTCTTATGAAGTTAATACCAATGTACTAGTGATGTGCATACCCACAATGTTCAAGGTTAGGCACAGCTAACTTATGTATGTTTAACATGCCACGTCCATGCACAATACTTATAATTTTAGTTTGGAAACTTAAAGCAACTTCGTGTAACGTAGAAATAACTAATAAAAATGTGCTAACACAATCCTATTCCATCAACTAAATACAGTTGTTTATACTTAGTAATACTTTTTATGTCTCAAGAAGGTTCCTCAACATTTCCACTGAGTTCCCTTTAAAGTGTAGAACCTACGAACATCATTGGATATGCAATTCTAAAGTTCAAACAACACACGATTGTTGTTTTGTATATACATATATAAATGGAATGTTCTGCAAAGACATAGGGGTCCAAATAAGTGAAAAGTGAAAATACAAAACAGGCCAACACTGGCTTACACAGTAAGTAGAACCAGTATTAAATTTTACACATACACAAATATATTATGTACTGGGCCAGTTAGTCATTATTCTTACAAAAACGAAAGTGACACAAAAGTACATCTACCTATCAATACATTACTGAATTTTACTACATTAGGTGTAATGCAAAAACATTCTAACAAACTGTAAAACAAAAATCATATTAGAAGATATGTAAACCCGCATACATTTTTATCAAATGTAATTAATATACTAAAATGTATTCATTTACATAAATTTCTTTCAAAATAATTTGTCAGATGCTTTTTATACCATTATTTAAATAAAATAGAATCTAATCAACTTCGTCAAAAATTTTATACTCCACTAACTAACTAACTTATGTTAAATAGTACTTTAATAAAATAACTTATTTCTTCCTGATGATGTATATGTTATATACACAAATTTAAATAATCAACAATTGGAATTATTCATTCATGAAACTCAGTATATGTACTCACACTTCCATCTACTTCTTTCACACTGATTGACCTCTCAACAGCCACAAGATTTTTTTCCTTACTATCTTTTACAGTTACAGTTTTTTTTTCTTTGGGTACTGAGATGTGTTTTTCTCGGGAGAAAAGTTTTGTTTTTTTTTCTTTGTCTATTCCTGAGAAACTTGCAGTGGCTTGAGGTTTCTTTTCTTCACTTACTAGTGTCTTGGGTGGACTAGTGTGATTCTCACCATGTTCTTGATCAGTATCCTTCAGTTGAAAATTAAATAAAAAATTAAACAGTTTGAGTATATTTTTGTAGATGGCAAAGTAAAACTGCTTAATAAACTACATATCCAACTTACATAAGACATTGTCACATACAATATTCAAAGGTAGATACTTAGGAGAGTATACCAAAAATGCTTACAAGATACTTGTATTTATAGTTGGATGTTTTGAAATCTATACGAGATAAATCTTGCACACATATTTACACACTATCTAGATCTTCTTTTGTGCATTTCCATTTAGTATCTTTACCAAATACGTATATGTGTGTGAATACCAATGACATTCAATTTAACCTAGTTTTAAACTAATAATATACATAATCATGAGAAAAAAAAAATTTTTTAATTCTAAAATTTTACTATGTCACCTTTACCTTGGTATTTCAGTGAAACCTGGATTTCAGAGCTTGTTTCATTAAACTGTGACCTTAATCTATTGATTAAGAGAAGCTTTTTAATGTGCATACTTTTCTCATCATTACTCTTTGAAATAATTATAAATGTTGTACAATGTATCGTCACATTAGATTCAGGAGTAGCATGATCTATTATTCCCGAATTGTTTTCAGCCAGCAGATTTGCATATTTACTGACACATGTCTCATGCCATCTGTTGGAATATCAAATATACCTAAAATTACATCTTTAACATTTAAATTCATAAACAATATTACATTTCTGGTCATCTGATTGTATGTTAACTACCACAAGATGCTGTATGAATATATCTGAATATACACTCAGTCAATTCTGAAAGCTTGTAAGATTTAGAGTAAAGATGAGAGACGTCTGCACATAACATAATCAATACATCAGTGCTAATGAACTCAGCTCTGCAATCAATCTTCTACTGAAATTATAATTGTTGGTCTTTTGATTGCATGTTGTTTACCTTGGGATAGTTAAACTAAAAAAAAAATTGGGATTAAATTTTTTTTCTCCTGATAAGTTGTATTTCTTATAATTATTATAATGTCCATTATCCCCCAGTGCCCATTATGATCACAGAAAAATATCAAAATTGTTTTTATAAATTACCTGACTAGGTGACATTATCATATAGATGACAGTAAAAACTTTTCTACACAGTCAAGTAAGATAATGTTATAAAGTTTTTGCTTTTCCTGAAAATTTCTTATGATTTTATTACTGAAAACTGATGTTTTGACTCAAACTGCTGCCCTAACATGTCAAGAATTACTATTTCAATGTGAAAATGAAATATAGAGGAAAAAACCCTCTGCATTACTGTAGATAAACTCAATTCATGAATCATTAAATTTCTTATACTATCTGCCATATTTCCTCTTATTTATAGATCCTTTGTTTTCTGAAAATCTTATGGTACAAATTTAACTTCAGAAACCAACCAATAAAATAATACCTTTTATTTTGTTTGATCCAATTATCTGTTCAAAAAGACAAATTGGAAACTGTACAAAAACACTTTATGAAATGATGAAAGCAAGAAATATTCTTGTAAAGTAGCATATTAATTCAAATAAAACATCTTCCATAAATAAGTCTTCTAGAATCTTGACATTGAAGCAGGAAATGTGGAAGGAAGAAATAACGAGAGAAAGCCTATACAGAAATATTTTAAAAGCAGAATACTGGTCCATTTACAGTGTTGTACTTTATAATGAAGCTTATAACACCTCTCAGTGAGGAGCAGTGTGTAATTTATTACACAAACAATACTGTATAACTTTGATACCCAAATATTGAGTAAATATTTTAAGAAAGTCTGTTAAATGTTAAGTTTTAGCTTATCATACCAGAACAAAAAAGAGCAATTTATATTTAAATGATTAACAAAAGCTTCCAAAACTGAGGTTTGTATTTATAAGAAATCAAAATTAATAAATCAGGTTGGTTTCCTTAACAAGCAATAAACACTCACTACTGATTTTATTATTATCTTGGATTGGCTTATTTTGAATGGAATTCCACATATTTTCAGCAGGTGGTCCATAACTGCAGTGATGTTAGTTTTTATTGAATGAGGCTTGTTTAATACTCTTGTTACAGGATTGGTCAAACCAGCCATATTCATGACCCCAAATTGACCTTTATAGTTTCTATACTATAACTTCTAATATGTTTTGTGTAACTTCACAAAAGTTTGCAAGCTTTCAGCAAACATTAAGTCTTTTGTAGAGAAAAAAATCAGAATTTTTAATAAAGTATTTTCACTAAACATTTCTCCATGAATATATGGTGTCAAAGTGTTGACTGCTCCAAGCGCAAAGTGATTTTCATGTTAAAATTAAAAATACTTTTCTTCATCTGAAAATTGTCAATTTGTGTAATCTCTAAAACTTCCTAAATAAATTTCAAACATTTTCTTCAGCAAAACTTTATATTTTATCTGTATCTACCCTTCCTCTAAATGAGGTCGGTCAATTTGATCGACCTTGTAATTACCATAAAAAAAATATATGAAAAAATCTAAATTACCCTTTTCTTCTTTCTATAATGACTTCAAACTATAACATGAAACTACATTTGTTTATCCTAAATAGCGTTAAACTTGTAACAATATACATCTGTTTATACTCAAATTTTATTGTTTTATTACCCTTTGAACCATGTTTCACTAATAATTCCACCATACAAGTTTTAAATCACTTGACAAATGTATAGCTCACGTTACCCTACAGCTTCACCTAAGAATAAAAGTGAGCCGTTTTTTGTCCTTCGGATTAAAGACAGACGATTTAGAGCACCAAAAATACAAGGTGAAAGGACGTACAGACACATAAGTATGGATTAAGTCGAGCAAACTAGATTTTCTAGCTCAAGTTTTCCAAAGAATCATACGGGGTAGATGGTTATTATTGATTATTCATTGTCAACTTTTCAGCACAAATTTACAAAATTTTATGAAATTATCCTGTAAAGTAAAGATCTTTTCCAAATAATAGGGTTGTAATCCTAAAGCTAATGTGGGTTATTATCAAGTGTCACTTTCTTACTTGCTGTGATTTGTTGTGTATTGACAAAAAGTCGTTGATATCTAATCAAAAACCTCTTAGGTATGAAGAATGGTGCAGCCAAAAAAGAATTCAGTGTGTGACTTAAAGGAATTAAATCAAAATTGGCAACCAAACTGGTAGCTACACTTATATCATTCATAAGAAGTTTACAGCAAATGTACATTCACTAGTTAGCCAGGCCGCATTTTGTTTTGTTCAACTTGGGGCATGGTGGTGGGTAAAATTAAATATGCAGCATAGCTGACATATTAATTAGTTTAAGGAACTAAACTGAATACATAGCTAAATACTTAAGTAAGGAAGCACATTATGCTAATATAATAATTGGCAAATAAGGATTTATAAGCATATTGAAAATTTTAATTGACGGTAGAGCGTACGTTTCAAAAAAACATGCATTACATTCCACCATCAATAAAACTTTTCCTTATGCTTATAAATCATAGTTTGCCCATCTATTATAATAGAGATAAATGATATGAAGATATGACAGTGTTTGATACAATAAGTCTGATTGGAGCTTTTTACAGATTTTTGAGATCCTATAACATATACATCCATCCATGCATGCCATTAGTCTAATGTCTTGGTATTGTTTTTTCAGTAATATGTTTTGTAAAATATAACAGACATTTGTAATTTTCTCTGACGTGCTAAGACATGATCTAAACTTTCAATTTATTTTCATCTTATGAAATGTCAAAATATTTGTTAGTAAAGTCTGACTTCACAATAATTACAATACCATTGACTTTGTAATGGCAAGGTCCAGGTTATTGGAGCATTTTTTTAAAACTTGACATTCATATGTACTCAGGGTTTTAAGCTTTTTCTATTGTTATCATAATTATGCACTGAATTAACAACCACTACAGTATTTCTAGTGCATATGAAATTAAGATGTTTATTTATTTTTAAAGATTCAATTAAACAAGAATTGGTGTAAAAATATTTCTAGAGACATAAGGGACAATTCAAACCTCCTTATAGGGGAATTTTTTTATGTTATGCAAGGTTACAATTTGAACAATTAATTACTTCTTTATTCAAGTTCACCAAAATATTATAATGATGTTGAATTTGTATACATTGTTCAAATTAATGTTAGTTCTTGATCCTAACTTGAATAAACTTGTTAATCCATATAATTTTTAAGATGAACAAAACCTAAAAATGAAACTCAATAAAGGTTTAAGCTAAATAGTAAGCTTCTACCACATATCAAAATTTGTTTTGTTCACCTTCATTAGATCTGGAATTTGTAGTTGTGTGTCAGTTTCAAATTTAAGTGTATTTAAGGATAACTTTTTGACTAAAAATCTTACAAAGAAGATTAATTTGCATTTATGATGCTGCTGTCATAATCAAATATCATCATATGGAGGAATGTGAAATGCCAGTCACAATAAACCACCTCAAGAAAAATTACAGCAAATAAAGTTCATTAAACGTGTATCAAAGAAACCATCAAAATAATATATTTTAACTTATTTTAATTGTGGGAAGCTTTTTGTTAAGTACATAAAATTCTGATCCATTGATAAAACTCTTGATTATATCTATATGCATAAATAATTCATAAAATTTTATCCACATATTATAATTCAATTTATAAGGCATGCAATGGACAAAAATTAGGTTTCACCATGTATAGATTTGTTAGGCTAGTTCTTCAATCATGTATTTGCTACTCAAACTGAATAAGAGTAATAATAATAAAATTTTGGAGAAACTTTTTCAAAACAAGAGGAAATATACTGTGTAACAACATTACAAAGTAACCATGAAATCAAAAAAATGAAACAGAATTATCTGTGTGTGTACATAGAAAATGTAAATAATATATTTTTTATTAGAAACTGACCAAAATAAATGAATATTCAATGTAAAAAAAATTTATTTCTGTGTTACATTATCAGATTTGGTATTTCATATTTTCAATCAGAATAGTATTTTATTAAGCACATGAACAAAACAGCTAAGTCAGAACATAGTGAGATTGAATTATACTTTTTATAGCATACAACTAACACTGCAGAGCATGCTCAACAGAATACCATAGTTTTGAGCTATGAACCTATGATTTACAGCCCAGTATGCTAGCCACTACGCCATGTCTGGCCCTACATGATTAGATCTACGTATTTAGTACCTGGAATATTATAGTTATTATTGGAAAACTGTTTCTTACCAAAATTCAGTACTATGTAAAATTCCCAAATACTAACTTAATGTGTGATATAATCTTACATGTAAGACATATTTTTAGGACCAAAATCCTCAAATCCTCAGGTAGTTGTAGAATTTAATAGTTCTCCATCTTTTTCTGTATGTATTATACAATATGCAAAAATGATTGAATGTGCAGAGAACTTGAATACTTCTTTAACTAAATCAAACAGATGGTTATATGTAAACATATTAAATGTTTACAAATTACATAATCCGAGTAAAATGTACATACCCCACCCCTACCCCCCAAAAAAAACTAACTAACACTCCTCTCTTACTTAATTTTTATAAATGAGAATGTAAGAAAAGTTTATTATCAGGCTGAATTTTAGTTTTCCATTAAGTAGGTAGCTTGCTCTTATTAGAAGCTACTATTAATTAATTGATTAATTTGAAATTTATTTTGTAAGGAAATAAAATCAGTAAAAGAAAATATCCAATTAGACTAAAGTATACATACACAAAAACCCTACAGTAAATATCTACTGGGGTTTAACTTATAAAATAGAATCAAGTTTTTTGTAATGACACACCTTGACTTATAGCCTATTTCAAAAAATACTTTTATTAGTTAAATCTCTAGTGAAACAACAACACATCTAAAACACATTTGAAACATCCCCTTTTTGTTTGGCAAATGTAAGCCACAATTAAGATAAACAATTTTTTGCAAAAATTATCAACCACATTTATACATACAGAAGTGAAAAAAAATCATGCAATCATTAAAGTAACTTTAAATATCAAAAACTATTTTTTTTTTATTCTTTACCAATAAATTTAATATCTCTTGATAATTATTTCTGGTTCTTTAACTGCTCCTTTATTTCTCATTATTTAACTCTTCTGAACACAATGTGAATATGTCTATGGTTTCTTCTTTGGTATTTTGATTGTCTTTTTTTCTTCTCTGTTCTTCATCTATTGTTTCTTTTGTTAAGTAATTTATTACAAGTTGGACTTTCACAATCCATAAATACTTGAGTTTTAAAGACTAACTTTAATAGATGTTATTTCTCTTGACTAAATATCTGTAAAACTTTGGACTCATTTCCTTCAACATCTTTGCTTTCCATTTCTTTATTACTTAGCCTCAAACTCTGGACACTTCATTTTCTCTATGCAGACAGAAATTATTTCTTTTTTTATGGAATTATTCGAAACTTGCTGCACTTGTACACTCATACTTGAACCTCCAAAATTCAATTACACATACACATAGCAATGAATGGTAGGAAGATTAAGTTAAAATATAATGTCTAGAATATTTTACAGATCTTTTTATTCTTTAAAAAGAATACATATACCACAAGAAACAAAGTTAAATAAAGGTGAAAAAAAGACTAAGCCAATACAAATATAAGAGTTCAATTAAAAATAGCTTCAGATTAGAAATCATAAGACTTTACTAATCCTTAAATACATCGACTAATAATGTTAAAATTGTTAGATTCAATTTACAATACATTTTTTCTTCTAAACTTGGAGGCTTACTCAATATTATGTAAAAAAAAAGTTTTTTTTGCAGAATAGTTTCAAGAGATAGGTACTGTGTTAAATCAAAATGCATGATTAAATACAGATCATGTTTTTTAATATTTCATAAACAGCTCATATAAAGGAAACATTAAAATAAGTTCTCAATCTCCTCCTCCTGTCTATGTAACATGACACTTGTTTGCTCTGACTTGCCCATTTCCTATTTTTCATCATCCCTCTATGATATCCAGAGTTTAACAGAAATTACTTATTATAGTACAGACGTTATTAATGCAATATCTAAATTCTATAGCCTTCATCCTTCTCTGCAGATATAAACAGTCATACTCACTTGACACACCTTCCTATGATACTCTTTTTCACAAATTGCCAATAATTCTTTGACATTTTCTATTACATCACTTATAACCAACAGAAAGACAAAGTTTTACTTTACCGAATAACATATACTGCTAACTTGTTCCTTGTAAAGATTTTTAGTAGTTTCACCTAAAGATTCAAAGTTGTTATTGCTGAGTTCAGATTGAATGGCTACAACAATTATTCTAAAGCACTTGTGCCTTAGTTAGAAATCCAGTTAAATTATAATATTTATAGGACATTGTTATTGTGTGTTCTTAAGTGCATACTTCAAAAAAATAAAAAGCATTTTAGTTACTACTAATATTGTTACAAGGAAATATGGTTTAAGTTTTGTTGAGGACTGACAGCAAAAAATCAAGAAGCCAAATGTAAGCAATAAATTTCTTGTTTTTTTAGGTAATTTTTTTCATTTATTATTATAAACGAAACTAAAATGTAAAAATTAGAAAGCTATTATGTTGGGTAAGGTTATTAGGTTAGATAATTAAAAACTATGAAAAAAAAATTTTCCCACCCATAAGGTATGCTGATGAGTAGCTTGTTTGTTACATTATTGAATACTTCAGCCATGCATTTGTTGTGTAATTTACAGCTTGTATTACAAGATTATTGGTTAGATGGTTCAAGAGCAATAAAACAATAAAATTAAATAAAAACAGGTGTAAACTTTACAAGCCTTAACTCTATAACTAGGACATGCTTCAGAGTGAAGCACATTAAATAACTCTCATTAAATTTCATTCCAGTAATAAAACCAGTGGATAAAATTGTTTAAGATTTGACATGTAGCACAGTAACATACACAGAAAAGGTTTAAAAAAAGGTGTAAACTTTACAAGCCTTAACTCTATAACTAGGACATGCTTCAGATTGAAGCATTACATGACTCTCATTAAATTTCATTCCAGTAATAAAACCAGTGGATAAAATTGTTTAAGACTTGACATGTAGCGCAGTAACATACACAGAAAGGGTTTTAAAAAAGGTGTAATCATTCTAGGGTTAAACCATTTAAGATTAACAATTATAATTTTCATTTACAATTTGCAGTCATTCTAGAAAGAAAAAAAAAGGGAAATTCAGATTTATTTATATATTTTTTGTAGTGGTTACAAGGTCATTCAAATCAACCAAGTTCATAAAGTGTTAGCGTAGAGAAAATATAAAGTTTTACTGACACAAATCTTTTGGTATTTATTTTGGAGGTTCTATAATTTATGCAAATGAAATTTGAAACTTAATGATAAAATATTTTTAATCTTAACATGTATATTACTTTGCAATAAGACTAGTCAAAGTCTGAATCACACACTAACTCCATATATTTACAGACAAACCTTTAATTACAAAAGACCTGTACTGTTTACTAAAAGCTTGCTAAATTTCATGAAAATACACTTAGTACATTAAAAGTGTACTCTCGTGTCGGTCTCCATAGTCACAAGCGACGCTGCTCTAGACGAGCAATCAACATGAGCTAACAATGGATGGATGCTCATCCATGGTCAAACCTGGCCAAAGGAGGCCTACATACATACATATTGTATGTATACTTTCATGGTTACTGGATGGTTGCAAGGTTGGCCAAAATAATCAAACCCATACACAGAGAGTTAAACAATTTCTATTTAATCCTGTCACCCTGGGTACCCTTTACTGTGCATGACAGTAGGTTTTAGTATCCTACATTCAAAGTTTTATTAAACTATTTTTGTTTATGTTAAACCAATTAGAAAACCATAAAATTTTAGCTAATAATCCATATTTTAATAGTATACAAGTTTTAAGTTATTAATTTTACAAGCAAATATATAAAAAAATCCTGAATTTCCACTAGTGTTACCCACATGACACATTTTGTCTTAGCATGTCATCATCCCTATTTTATCCATCACCCCTCGAACATGTATGAAATCAAATGTAAAACACTCTATAAAATCGTTATTGCTCAAACAAACCATAATTTTTATAGCCTTCAATTTTGTTTGGTTACAGAGCTATTAAACAGAAAATCAGACCCCTCCTTACAACTTATAATGGCACGGACAGTAGTTAGATATGGTTCAAAGGGCAATAAAACAATAAAATTTAATTATAAATAGATGT